ATGGGGTCCCTCTCCTGTGAACTCTCATGGTCGATGCCAATACTTTGTGACTTTTATCAATTATCATTCAAGGAAGACCTGGGTGTACTTTCTGAAGACAAAGGATGAAGATGAAGTGTTTGGGCGGTTAAAGGAGTGGAAGACGATGGATGAGAAATAGATCGGGAACCATGCCAGGTCACTCAGAACATAAAATAGGTTAGAGTTTTACAAGGCTTTGTTTGGCAACTTCTGCAAAACAAAAGGTATAGTGAGGCATCACACTGTACAACTAACACCACAACAAAGCAAAGTGACAGAACATATAAACCAAACACTAGTGGAGCATGCACAGTGCATGCGATTATCTGCTGATTTATTGGAGCAATTATGGGGGAAGCAGTTAACATTGCTTGTTATTTGGTGAATAGATATCCATCAACTGCAATTGATAATAAGACTCATCGAGAGGTGTGGTCTGGGAAAGCCTTTGAAAATTCTGGTTTACGAATGTTTGGATGCCATGCTTACGTCCGTGTGAATGATGGTAAACTAGAGCCGAGGGCAATGAAGTGCATATTTCTAGGATATGCATATGGAGGGAAAGGTCATCGTCTGTGGTGTATAGAAGAAGGAAGACTCCAAAATTCGTTATTAGTAGAGATGTGACCTTTGAATCTGCTATATGTAACTAGATATGAGGTGGTATAAGTGTTACGGGGAACGATCAGGCTGCTATCTAGACGGTAGAGTTTGAAATAGAAACCCCACATAATTTTATGATAAATAAGGAACAACAGGGAGGCATGGAACAATATACACATGAGGAATCCCTTAAACAACCCAGGAAAGAAGTCTGGTGATGCCGATACCAGAAAAGACAACTTGATGACACTTTTGGAGAATGAGTTTGCGATGAAGGATTTAGGAGCTGAAAGGAAGATAACAAACATGGAGATTCAGAATGATTGAAGAGCATGATGGTTATACATTTCTCATTATATTGAGAAAGTCCTGCGTTCGTTCTATCGTGATCAGTCCAAACGTGTTGGTACTTCTTTGGCGGTTCGAGACAATTAGGGGAAAGCTCATTGGGAAGTGGTCAAGTGGATCTTGCGATACTTGAAGGGAACGCTTGATGTTTGTCTGGTGTATGGTGCCAATGCATGACATACAGATTCGGTTGGATTGATAGACTTGGACCATGAAAGTGATATGGAGACAATAAAAACATTAGCGGTTGGTCTCATTCAAAGTCTTCTTTTGAAGGTGGAGAAACCTGTCATGTTCTATGATAAGTTATGCATTCAAAAGTCTGGTGCCAAGGAGAATCCGGAAGACATAGTGACAAGGTTGTTGCCTAGAGAGAAGTCAAGCTTTGCTTGGACTTGGTTGATGTTCGTAAGAAGTAATCCCCTTTGAGGCTTGATGGTAGGAAGGGAGAGGAAGTTTTTGTTTAAGGTGGAGTTTAGAGGATGCTCAAGTCAAGGTAGAGATTGTTAAAAGTGACTTGAGCATTTGAAGCATTCTCATGGAGCTTTTGAGTTCGATGGAGCACTTGGAACTCATTTGGAGCAACTTGGAGTAACATGTCGTGCCATGCAAGAAGAAGTTACACCATCATGATAGAAGTTGCGCCAAGTGGAAGGTTGTTGCGCCATTTGTGATGAAGTTGCGCCAAGAAGAAGGGAGTTGTGCCACTCATGGGAGATGTTGCGCAAAATTGGTAGATGTTGCGCCAAGTGGAGATGTTGCACCAATTTTGGAAGGAGTTGCACCACATTGAAGGAAGTTGCATCACATTGGGAACATGTTGCACGAGCCATCTTCATGCAAGATGCACTATCTTGGTGTAGGGTGCGCTTTGATGAACCACATGTGCTATGAAGTCCTATATAATGCTCAGAAGTTGGTGATGCTCAAGGAGTCCACCATGTTGGGCCAATAATGTTTTTTTTAATAATTATTTTACTTTCTTTTTAGCTATTTGAATAGTAAGGGGGTGTGTAGTTAAGCTTTTTTAAGGAGCTTATCAACTTATTAGCGGTTCCACGCCGTTATAAGTTAAAAAATTGTATGGATAAAAATAAGGGATAATGACTTAAAAGGGTAACATATTATTCGATTTGTACACATTTGGTCACTGAGTTTTTTTTTCGTCCACATTTACCCCTTAAACTTGTTAAACTGTACACATTTAGTCCTTATGACCTGTTACTCCAGGTTAGCCGGGAAAAATGACTTGATAGGGTAATATATTTTTCATTTTGTACACATTTAGTCCTTAATATTTTTGTACATATTTAGTCCTTAACATTTTTTTTTTGTTTCAAAATAAGTCCTTTTTTTGTACTCATTCAGTACTTATGAATGATTTCTTTAGGTTTTTTTCACGACATCTTACGTGAGACAATCATTGATGAGGTGCTTGGGGTTGTTGATGCTTATGTCCAATGCGATCTCGACTGCTTGGTTGCGTAACTATTGTGGTTTGGCTTAGGTCTTGTATTTTGAACATCGTAACTTCTTCATACGATATCAGATTTTAATGATCTTTATCCACATGTTCATTTTTTTGAGTCTACTACAACTTTCATTAAGATTACTCCCGTTAAAATGTAATATTTTTTTACTAACGATTTTATAAAAAAAAACATACAAACATGCATTCATAAAAAACGTATAGACAGGGGAAGACGCAGTAATACATAGTAGGTGTTGCCGAGATGAAATAGGTGTTGCCGATACATGGAAAATAGGTATAAACGTAAAAAAAAAGCGAAAAATTTTCCACTGCGAACAGAAAAAACAGGTGTTGTCGGTGCAACACCGGGACCATACTAAATCCGCCACCGCGTATGGATATAAAAATCGTAAGTAAAAATATATTATTTTTTAATGAGAGTAATCTAAATGAAAGTTGTAGTAGACTAAAATACGAACGCATTGATATAAAGATCGTTAAAATCCGAGATTATATGAAGAAGTTATGACGTTCAGAACACATGAACTAAGCAACCAAGTAGTCGAGATCGCAATGGATATAAGCATCAAAAACCCCATACACCTCATTAATGAATGTCCCACGTAAAATTTTGTAAGAAAAAACTAAAAAATCATTCATAAGTACTGAATGAGTACAAAAAAAATGACTTATTTTGCAAAAAAAAAAAAAAAAAGGACTAAATATGTACAAAAATATTAAGGACTAAATGTGTACAAAGTGAGAAATATATTACCCTATTAAGTTATTTTACCGGGTAACCTGGAGTACCCGGTCATAAGGACTGAATGTATACAGTTTAACAAGTTGAAGGGGTAAATGTAGACGAAAAAAAAACTCAGTGACCAAATGTGTACAAATTGAAAAATATATTACCATTTTAAGTCATTATCCCTAAAAATAATTTATTGCGGTGGGAAACCACTAATAACCCATTTTTTCATAAGGTGCCTTACTCGGTTACTCCTAACTTGATTGCTAATAAGTTTTTTTTGTTAAACACCCTCAGCCTGTCTAAAATTAAAAGTATAAACATCATAACACAAATTATATTACATTTATTATATTATAAAAAATGAATATTGAATTTATTATATTACATAAATCAAGTAAAAACTTGTATTTTGGTCGATAAACAAGTCATTATCCCTTTTATGCATGAGAACTAAAAAGGAATACAAATGCTTCATGATTAAAAATAAATCCATTCAATGAAAACAAAATAAAAAATCTCGTGATCATAAATAAAAAAAATCCACTTTACCGATAATAATAAATAATAATAAAGATCAAATATAGAATAATAATATGAGAGATTTTCAATAAAGTAGATATTTACACTTTTATGAAGTGAATGGAAAATTTTACATTGCTTTTTTGCTATCTAATTATTGTCTTATTTTTGTGTTTCAATCTTTATAAAATATATCACATTTTATAAATACTTTTTTACTAACATGATTATATTATATTTTAACTAATCAGTTAAATTTTGATACTGACATGTTATGTTTGTAGGGTTTTATTTATTTATTTATTTTTATTTAATTTTTTAACTTTAAATTTAATATGTTTTTAATTCTATTTATGTTTCAGAAAGTATTTGACCATCAACCTAAATAAGAGAATGAAGCGTAGTTGAACAAAGCTTTTCCTATTTCATCCCCATCCCCCTCTCCCCTCTCATACCAAACAAAAAGAAACAAATTATTTCTATGAACTACTAAAAATGTCCTCTATAAATAATAAACATAAAATATATGTTCTGATAATTACAGATAAAATTGGATTAAAATTTTATTATAATAATATATATGCTCACATCAAACTTTTTGAAAAACGTTTTGATTTTTGTCAACTTGTCATTATATTACATAATAATAATGAAACATTTTAATCCACATAAACAATTTCAAATAATAATCATTATACCTTTGTTATATATTCTAAATTAAAACCTGATTGCTTAACCAATGTGAAATAACTGTAAAATATCGTTACTACTTGTTTAGATTATTCAGTAAAAGAGGTTGCATCTTTTTAAGAAAACAAGATAACTAAAAAAATGTTACATAATTTTTGAAGTATAATAAAAATAATATACCCAACAAATAAAAACAAGCAATGTAAAACCAAGTAGTAAATAATGAAAATTTGACAAAATGAAAGTAAGCGTTAAAATATGGAGTGTTTTATACAGTCAATGCATTAGAAGACAGACACAAGAAACCAAGTGGGATGAAAAAAAGGAAAGTATCGAGCGACAAGAACATAAGTTGGGTGAATTAATGTTAAATAATATCTGACACACCCTTAAATCTTAAATCTTAATTGCAAATCATCATCATTAGTTTACGTTACCTTTTACTTTTCCACATAACATTTAACATTTGTTTTATAACCAATCTCTCTTTGTTCCTTGCGTGGCGTGGGTGTGGGCCTGTGCATATTTCATCAGCATCAAGGAAAAAAAATAAAAACTTGCTTCACTTCCCGCCCTTCCCGCTTCTTCTTGAATCTCATTCTCATCTACTATCTTCTAGTCTTCTACTGTTACCACAAAAACAAAAAAAGAATACAATAAAAAAAAAAACAACACTCTGCACTCTGCAGTCACTCCAAGACTCACGAGGCTGGAGCCGACGACACTGGATTCAGGTTGAAGAAGAAGATGGGTGATGAGAAAGATCAAGACAAAGAAAGTGTTGTTGTTGTAATGGATACTCCGGAAAGAACCCAGATCGCTACTCCACTTTCTAAATTCGAGGTGAATTGGGTTTTCGTGTGCGCGATTTGGTTCTTCGCTTCTGTTACTGGGAACTTTTTGTGTTTATGGTTTGTTTTAGTGAACCGATGCGGCGATTTCGCTATCTTAGTAGGGTTTGGCTTCGGATGTTCATGGGTTTCTCCGATTTCTTCAATTTTGCGTCTTTTTCATAGCATTGATCTTAGATCAAGTTTGATTATTGATTTCTTGTTGTTCGGCGGCATTTCGCCCTTTTGTGGTGAAGTCAATTTGATGAATTTGGTTTTTATTTTTTGTTTAATGTATGTTCTTTTATGGGGTAACCAATTACCCTTTCGATTTGATATACTCGTGGGTTAATTTCTGCCTCCCTTGCCCTAATTAATTCCGTAGGGTTTTATGGCAGATTGACCAACCCTTCTACGGATCTTCTTCTTCTTGAGAATTAGGGTTTGTTTGTAAATTTCAATCCGAATTTAAAGTAAGATATGATTTTGGTCTCAATTATTCTTTACGATGTATTTGGAAATTTTCCTCTCTAGATCTATAGAGATGTATGCAGTTTTCTACCAATTCTTTGCTCAATTTGTTATTTTTTATTGTCTCTAGGTTTAAAAATCCCAGAATTGGTCAGTTCGGGTTTTACTAGGAGATGTTTGGAACTGATAGATGTTAAATTACTTAGTATCCTTAATGTTACGCACCTGATTTTATCAATTACATCAATGATCTTGATTTGTTGTTCTTTTGGACGTCTAATTGAAGGGTTTTCTTGTCTTTTTGCAGGATTCCCCAGTCTTCAATTATATCAATAGTCTTTCACCTATCAAGCCCGTTAAATCTGTGCATTTCACACAGACATTTAGTGCCTTAAGTTTTGCATCCCTTCCATCTGTTTTCACTTCGCCTCATGTCAGTTCCCTCAAAGATTCTCGATTCCTAAGAAGGTAATTGGTTTAAAGAATGTGGATATAAAGTAAATGCTGCAGCAAATTCAATTCATTTTGGTAGTGTATGGCATGATGGAATCAGAGAAGGAATGGAATGACTAATTCCATTGTAATGAATAAAAAGCTGTTTGTTTTGTCAGATAAAATGGAATGAACCATTCCTTCATCATTCCATTCCATCCAACTAAACAAACCCCACTAAACTTTTTTTTTGTCACTTAAAATCTTGACTTTTCAGGCACCAGTTTTCCGATCCATCGAAACCGGAAAATACTTCCGAAGATGCAAAGAAAGCCGAAATCAACGAAGGGAATCCAAACACCACTCAGAACCAATTAAATCAGCAAACGGAATTTAATTCCAATTCCGTTTCCGAACTGTTGTGCCATCAAACAGGCCCTCAAATCTTGAATCAAGAAAATTAAGCTATGAAGCAGTTAGCCCTGACACAATAAACACATCAAAAATGGATAATCCATCATCATTATCAATTGTCCCATTTGTCAATAATCACTCTGCAAATGATCCAATAAGAATAGAATCAGACATGGAAGGGATTGACTCGCTCCATAATAAAGTATCCGGATGTGATTGGGACAGTTTGATATCTGATGCTTCAGAGTTGCTTAATTTTGATTCACCTAGTGATACTATCCCCTATAAGGGCCCCACTCAAACCACTTTAGACCAAAAACCCGAAGCTAAGAATGATAATCCTTCAGAAAAGCATGAAGGTGCTAGTACATCTTTAAACAATTTTGAGGTCGGTGAGCTGGCAGATGATATGGAGGATAATGAGGTGAGAATTTTAAAGAAGAGTAATAAAAGTTTGAAAATGCATTTTTAATGTCTCTAATTGTCTATATAAATCAATAGGTTGGATCAAATTTATATCGTGGCATGAGAAGGCGTTGTCTAGTTTTTGAGATGATGGGGTCTCGAAGAAAGCACTTAGAAGACATTTCAAATGTACCTGATTCCAATGAAACCGTTGTTCCAAATGACAACTCTTCAATTCCAATGAGGATCGGAAATGAGAATGGAAATGAATCCTCTAGATGTATTCTACCCGGAATCGGATTGCATCTAAATGCTCTTGCTTCAACTTTAGTGGATCAAAAAGTTGTTAAGCATGAAAGCTCGGGATCCGGTGGACAACTTATAATTGCACCGCCTTCTGCCGCCTACAATTCCACTCCTTCCGGTCAAGAATTGATAACAACAATGGCTGATGCATCTGGTTTGGAGAATGATCAAAGTGGAGTTCCGGTTACAGAAGATGTTTCTAAAGCACTTGGATTTGTAGTTAATGAAGAGTTAAGTCAGAGTAGTCCAAGAAAGAAGAGGCAAGTTATCACTTTCATTTCTTTATTGATTGCCACATTGCATCTTTGTTTGACATTTTTTTGTTAAATTTACAGGCGTAGAATGGAACATGCAGGAGAAACCGAGGCTTGCAAGCGTTGTAACTGTAAGAAATCAAAGTGCTTGAAGCTGTAAGTTCTCTAAATCTCTTTATTATTGGGGAACATTATGTGATTCTGATACGCATTTTTTTTTTTTTTTGAAAATTTATTTCAGTTACTGTGAATGCTTTGCTGCTGGGGTGTACTGTGTGGAGCCATGTTCATGTCAAGAATGTTTCAACAAACCGATACATGAAGATACAGTGCTTCAAACTCGCAAGCAGATTGAATCCCGCAACCCTCTTGCATTTGCTCCCAAAGTTATTAAAACCTCTGATTCCATGCAAGAGGTTCGTTTGAATTGGATTCACACATTTTTTTTTTACTATGACTAGTGTGACTAGTGAGTTTGAAGGTTATCAATATGAATGATGGTTTGTGCAGGATGAATCTAGCAACACTCCAGCTTCAGCTCGACATAAACGAGGCTGCAATTGCAAAAAATCTGGTTGCTTGAAGAAATACTGTGAATGCTTTCAGGTTCTTCCTCTTGCCCTACTTTGCTTGCTTGTGTTTGCTTGAAGAAATGCACATTTTGTCTATTGACATTAGTCAAAGTCAAAGGCAATATTCTAATTTAGGGTTCTTTTGTGAAGGGTGGTGTTGGATGCTCCATCAACTGCAGATGTGAAGGCTGTAAGAATACATTTGGTCGGAAGGATGGTAAGTATTTCTTTTCTTTCTTTCTCTATCAAGTTGTTTTTTTCTGCATTAAGTCCATTAATTGAGATGTTTTGGTTTATAGGTTCGGAAATGGATCCAGAAATGAATGTTGTTGATGAGTGTGAAGGGAATGGAACTGATGGAAGGTTCCAGAAGATGGCAATACACCATGAAGTCGAGCCAATTTCTGCTACTCCACCAACACCTTCACGTTTTGGCAGGTAATAATAACTAATTCCATTCCTTCATCTCTCATCATTATTCCATTCCACTTCCACCCGAAAGATGTCTAATTACATATATTATCGATATAAAAGCAGGCAATCTATTTCTATGATAAGCTCTTCAAAGGGCAAACCACCACGATCATTTCTGGCCATTGGATCATCAGCATCATCTAGCCAAAGATTTGGAAAGCTGAATCCATTCAAAGTTGGAATGAAGACAGCAGCAGATAATAAGCAATTGCAGACAGTTGGAGAAGATAAGATACCTGAAATACTTGAAGAAAATGGTTCTCCAATTAGTGGTGTCAAATCTTGTTCACCAAACAGCAAAAGGGTGTCCCCACCACACTCACACTCACACTCAGGACTTGGACAAAGAAGCAGCAGGAAATTGATATTGCAATCCATTCCTTCATTTCCATGTCTCACTCCCAACTCTAAGCATTGATTGATTGATATGCTGCAAATCAATCAACCACTTTCGATGTCTTTAGTTGTTACTGTGTAGTTTTTCTTTTCTTTTTTCTTTTTATATTTTTTAATTTTTAATTTTGATGTCGTCGTTGTAAGGTTGCTTATTATTAAGGTTACTACAACTCTGCTTGTAAAATAATAATATGATGATGTTCTTAGCTCGTGTTTGCTTATCATAAAAACATAAACTATGGTCAATGATTTTGATTGATTATCATGGTAATTAATCTCTTTCTCAAACAGAATCAAAACAACTGAACATGTCATATATCATCAGAAACATTAGTTGACATGTACACAACCAACAAACATAGTTAGTTCTAACTTCTAATGAAGAATGATACGAGTTGAGAACACAAACATACTTGAATCCTGTCATGTGGGAGCTAAATGATTGCCACCAGAAAACATACATAACTGCTTCATGCATCGAGATGCTCTCATCATCATGAGTTTGAAGAACTCCATTGTTGATAGAAATGGTCTTGTGTTCTCAAAGATAAAGCTTCGTTTATACTCGAGGATCCATGTGTTTTGATCTAAACGCCATAATGATGTACTCCATTTTCCTTGTTCCCATGAAGTATTTGCTTTTCGAATCGAATGACTCGACTCCCCATTTGACCACTACATATATTCATAGGATTAGAAGGAAGAAATAGCAATATATTTTATTTATTTGTTTATGGGAGCATTGTACTTTCATTTTTTTCCTCTTACTTTGAAAAATCTACCTAATTATGGCAATGTCATTTTCACTCTTTTAATAAGAAAAAATGGAAGTATATTGCCATAAACGAGTAGATTTTTCAACACAAACTTTGAAAATTCTACATAATTATAACAATGTCATCCAAATACAAAACACAAAACAGTTTTTCACTCTTATAATTGGACAAAATTTTCAAAAATATTATCTTCAAATAGAAAAAATTGGAAGTACAATGCTATAAATGGGTAGATTTTTCAAAGCATAAGTGTTTTAAAGAAAAAAGCTACAAGTACAATGATATAAGGGGAAAAAAAATGAAAGTGTGATCCTACAATACACAAAATCACAAATAAATGAAAATACGATGCTGTAAATCAAAACTAGCTTGCCTCTGTAACTGTTCCTGACAAGATAGTGAATGATCTTGAAGCAAATTCAGTTGTAAGCAATCCAGAGGTTTGCAAAGGCCATCCCCATATGCTCACTTCTTCCATCCAGGATTTGTGGAGTTGACAACGAGATCTCCAGATCAAACCATCCTAAACACATAAACAAAGTTCATTAATCACAAATGTTCTACTTTCACACACAAACACAAAGAACATTGCATACATATGATATAATAGAGCACCTGAACTATTTCCCAATTGGGATATGTAGAGCTAGCTTCTGAGACACCATCTCCCATAAAGCTTTGTAGTTCATTATTCAAAAACACTAAACGTTCTTTCACATCTTGAAGTCCGGATGATTTCTCACTCAGGTTTCTGACTATTTCTGGGGACAATTTGGTTTTCATGACTCTAGAAGTTAAAAAAGAAAACCCTAGTGTCCCCATTACAATCAAGCAAAGAATCAGAACCCATTTCATCATCTTTAAGACATATCCAAGTTTTGACTTTTTACTGTTCATTTTCTGCCGGAAACTTTTCCTGATAGCTGGACTGAGGGGTGTAGATACCATGGGACGAGAAGTCTCGGATATAGGAGTGGAGAGGGTTGAAGGATTGCTGAAAAGCGGGGTTTGAGGAGGAGATGGTTTTGAAGAGGAGAGCTTAGTGAGCGTGCTTCTATGGGCGCTCATCAAATCAAGGGTGGCATTGATGCTGGCGACACAGGTTTTGCACTTGCAGTTGGCATCTCTCCGGCAACGGGTTAAGTAGAAGCTGTCGTCTTCCATGGGGGAAGACGATTTCACGGAGGAATTGGGTGTTTGCACAGTGGTTCCCATTAGCATTTGATAAACATTAGTTTCTGAGATCTGGTTTAAAACTTGGATCAGAATGGAGAGAGACAAAGAAAATGGTTTGAATTTTGAATTTCAACGGCCATATATAAAATATGAGTTAATACTTATACCAGCAATGAATATTAAAGTTACCAAAATACCTGTGGTTTACGATTATTGTATGTATATCATGATTTATGAAATTCCTACATCTATTTTTTTTTTTTTTTTTTTATTATTATTATTATTATTATTATTATTATTATTATTATTTTGTTGTCTTTTATTATTATTATTATTATTATTATTATTATTATTATTATTATTTAATTAAATTTATAATAGTTATAGTAATTTAATAATAAAAAAAATTATTTTTTTCAATGGTTATTTTACCAACTACAATAATTAAATATTCATTCACTGTATATCTCTTTTGGTTTTGTGATGAGTCTCTCCTGTTATTGCGTATGGTATTCAGTGGCGAATCTAGAACAAAATATCACGTGGTTCCCAAATTAAGTGAAACCGATAAAAAAAATCACCAACACTTGTGAGGGGTCGGGTCGGGTCGTGTACGATTTAATGAAATATAACGAAAAAACCGATCAGGCACCACCAATTAAATTTTTTAAAAAACCGACTAAAATATAATTGAAAAAACCGAACGATTTAATAAAAACTAGTTGATTATTAGTGCATTGATACCTTATTGTTTGATAAAAACTATGTATTATATTTAACCCTATATATTTAACAACACAAATGCCCCATGTAACTTATTTTTATCTTTTTTTTAAAATGATTTTTAAGACGTTTTTTTAAAAAACAAACTCAAGATCTGTCCTTTATTTTTTCTAAGGTAGTTCCTAATTTTTGTTGCATATATATTATAAATGAAATTCAAATTTTAGGTAGGTCCTAGGACCTACCTTCTTACTTGCTAGATACGCCCCTGATGGTATTATTTCCTAAATAGTTGATTTGAAGTCACTTTAATTTTATCTTTAATAATAAAGAAATTGATTTGATGTTTTGTTTTCTTCTATTATTACGTATATATAATACGATCAATCGATCGATTGAAATCATTAAAAAAAAATCATATCTCATATCTTTGTCTAAGTCAGCATATCTACAACGATTGAATCATATGGCGGATTTTCAGACTAATAAGGTTTGTTTGTTTTTAGATAGTTTTAGTATACTAATACGTTGACACAACTGAACATGTATGCATTTTATTTGTAAGGTGTTTAGCACTCGTGAAAATCTGAAGGAGTGGGTTGATAATGTGGCACGAATTCTCGGATATGTGGTCATTACAAAAAGATCAAAAACGAAAACAAGTAGTGGCTATGTTTCAAAAATCGTTTTAGTTTGTGATCGAAGTGGTGTCTATAAAGGTACAAATACATCAGACAGAAATACGGGGACAAAAAAATAAATAAATTGTCCCTTTGAATTGGTGGTAATTTATTATAAGACAGATTATTTTTTGAAAATTATAAATGGTGACCATAATCATGACCCTACAATGTATATGGAAGGTCATGTATTTGCAAAACGGATGACTACAGATGAACGTCGTATGGTGGAAGACATCACATATAATGATGTCCGTCCACGTAATATTCTTTCGACCTTGAAGAGTCAAAATGAACACAATGTAAGTACAATAGACACCATTTATAATGCACGAGAAAAATATCGATCACAAATGCATACAGGTCGAAGCGAAATGCAAGTTGTATTCGAAATTTTGCAGTTAAAAGGATATATATATATATATATATATATATATATATATATATATATCATACAGATGACACGACAAATGAGTTGGAAGACTTGTTTTTTGTTCATCAGACATCATTGAATATATGACGTGCATTTCCACAAGTGTTAATGATGGATGCCACGTATAAGACAAACAAGTATAACATGCCTATTCTTGAAATTGTTGGTGTCACTTCAACAAACAACACATTTTCCATAGCTTCCGTGCTTATGGACGAAGAGAAAGAGACAAATTATACTTTGGCATTAAATCTGACGACCACACTGGGTGGATATGATGGGCCATATGTAATCGTCACAAATAGAGAATTAGCTTTAATGAATGCATGTGCAGATATATTCCCCACATCCAACCGGTTACTCTGACACATATCTGAATGTATAAAGAAACACTACAAACCAAGTTTAAAGTCCAAGGGTGGGTATTTGGGGATCATATAAGAAAGTATGGGTGAATCTAATCGAGTCATCAACAAGGAGATCATATTTAGAAAATTATGCTCAACTTTAATCATTATTGGAAGACTGTCCAGGTATTATTACGTTATTAATAATTACTAGTCCACTAGTTTTACTGAAAGATAAAGAAAAGCTCGTCATACAGTGAAGGAATATTACGTTATTAATAATTACAATTTTTAATCATCACGAAATCAAACGAGATATACAGTGAATGAATATTACTTTACTTACATTTTCAACCCTTCAACTTTTATGATATTTTTTCTTTGTATCTTTTACTTTTATGATATATTTTCTTTGTATCTTATGATATAAGCTTTAGGGGCTGAAAATGAAATTTCTTTATGAAAAAAGTTGATTTTATGTGAGCCGAATTCATTTTACAGTGAAAGGAACATATATAACTGTATGAATAATTACTTTAAATATGTCTTTTTTTTGTATATGTTATTAATTGTTTGTTTACTTTTTAGTTTTTTTCAATTATCTTAATCAAACTTGGTTGGATAAATACAAAGAAATGTTTGTATCATTATAGACAAACAGAGTTTTACATTTCGACAACCACATGAATAATAGAGTTGAAAGTCAACATGCGAGATTTAAAAACTACTTGGATTAAAATCACTCAAAGCTGCAAAGGTTTTTTGATTATATTGACAAGACAATTGAATCACAATACACATCCATGACGTCTTGAGAAAAGTAGAATCGAAGTAAAGCATTTCCACAACATAGAAATTTTCAGAAGCTTATTACGTAAAGTTTCACATCATGGTTTACAAAAAATGTTGCAAGAATTAGATCAACCCAATTTTCAAAATATAACTGAGACCAGCTGTGGGTGTAAACTACGTCGTACATATGGGTTCACTTGTGCCCACGAAATTTTAGTTTATTACAATACAGGCCGACAAATACCTTTGGAGTCAATTGATTTTTTTTGGAGAAGACTTGATGTAGAGAGAGTAGTGCCGGTCACTCAATATGATGAATCAGCTTTTGATGGTGAAGCAAACCTTTTAAAGAAAAGCTACAATAAACAGTCAAAAGATGTGAAGGCTAATTATTTGAAAAAAAATGATAAATATATGGAAGTCATCACCTTCTATGGCTTCAGAGCCTGCTGTTCGTACAAATACCCGTGGACGTCCGCGTGCGAGTACAAAACCATCACAAGAAAAACCTCTGCTTTTGCCAACTCAATATCCACCAACTCAAGATCCTCGTAGAGGTAGTTTTTCTTCGTATACACCAGATTATATGGAGTCTAACATGTTTGATTTAAACCAACAACCGGAACCGGAGAGGCACAACACATATTCGTTTGGAGAATCTTCAGTGTTCAACCAAGAACCAACGTATCAAAGATCCTACTTCAAACATGCACTTATGAATGAAATTCCAAGTGAATTTGAACCATATGTGTCACACATACAAAATGTGGAAGGAGATGGACACAGTGGATTCCGGGCAATAGCTGTTGCTCTTGGTTTTAGTGAAGACTATTGGTATCAAATTCGACAAACTTATATGAAGAGTTATTGATACACATTGATGATTATAGAGTGGTTTTTGAAAATGAAATAAATGCCATTAGTGAAGCGTTGAATTTCTATGAAACACCCGCGATTCGAAAATATTGGATGATTATGCCTGACACTGGTATTTTAATTGCTAGTAAGTATGGTGTTATTGTTCATTTCTTAAACAAATACGAATCTTCATCGTCTTTCCCACTTTAGAGTGGTCCACAAGATTTCCCAAATCATCCGATTATAAATATCACCATCCTTAATGGTTGTCATTATCTGGCTACTGTTTCTTGGTTGTGGAACATGCACAAATCTAGTTAATAATAATTGTAATTCCAATTTCAAGATAAAATGACCAATCTAGCTACTATACCTAATGGTTTGCTATAAAATAACATAAAGTTTTCATTATCACTCAATATAGTCACATTTATGGGTTGGGCCACTACAAAATCTTGTATCATTATTTAATAAATAAGTATCGGTCATTGTCACGTGACATTCTCTAATCCTCTCCACCTCCTCCCCAACCGATTTTTCCCGCTCATATCATATAACTGAATTCCCGAAATTTCCCTTAGATTCAATTTTCTCAGCAACTTCGGTTCAATCCGATATAAATGGGTGTTTGTTATACTCTATTCATGATTCACGATCGGGGGTTCACGATTTCATGAGACAGGCTGTCATATCTTATTTCCTACATGTTTTTTTAAAACGGAAACTCATTAAACCTTATTCAATTACGTATAAATCAATATAAATCCACATTTACTATCCATAATTATCTATTCCAACTGATGATCACTACCTTATTTAACGTAATATATCTAAATTTTAAAAACCGTTTCTTCGATTATCTTGGTTAAATAGTCTCACATATCTCACTTCATACTTCACGAATCCATTTATTCACATATCCAGTGTGCAGGAGCAGAAGAAAATAAAACATCGAACTCGGCATCCATTCTTCAATTGGGTATGGTGAAATATTATCACCTTTTTTCATGTTTTTATTGCATAGCTATTCTACATTCTTCTTCTTCTTCCTGCTATATCATGTAACTGACCTTTGTTAAAAATTATAGATAAAAACATACCTGTTGTTTGATGATTGCCTCTGTCTAACCCAAAACATTTGTATATGTTGTTTGTTGAGTGTCGTGTTGCAATATACCACAAGCAATAAACATGATGCCTTGGTTGTATAAATAACTTGTAATCTGAACAATAAAGGAAAATAAAACTAACTTCAAAAAAAGTCAAAATAGAATATTTGCAACAGATATCGCAATCAGGTTAACATCTTTTAACCGTTGCTTCTTTTTTTCCTGTAAAACAGGTTCATCAAACAGAAAAAAGACCATTTTACCCATGTCCATTCTAAAACAACTTCTAATTTTTAAGATATGAACTATAATATCCAAATTACAGATGCATTACTTTATGATACCCAATCAAGTTACACATTACTGTTCTGCAAGAAATAGTAATGTACTTACATACTTTTAATTTATTTTTCTCATTTATGCATTACTTTATGATTTTTACCATTTGTGTGATTTTATTTAATCATGGACCATTTATGTAAAATGCTATATTGGACATCAAAATGAAAGTAGATTGCCATTTCATGCTTTTAGCCCACGATTGTTCTGATACAACTTCTAATTTTTAAGATATGAACTATAATATCTATTACAGATGCATTACTTTATGATATCCAATCAGGTTACAGATGACTGTTCTGCAGGAAATAGTAATGTACTTGCATATTTTTATTTTATTTTTCTCATTTATGCATTACTTTATGATATTTACCATCTGTGTGATTTTATTTAATCATGGACCATTTATGTAAAATGCTATATTGGACATCAAAATGAAAGTAGATTGCCATTTTGTGCTTTTAGCCCATGATTTTTCAGATACATGCAGGAATTAGCCGTTTACTTTCATTTTTTCCATTTATTGTATTTATGCCCAATTTAGCATATTATTTTCATTTTTGTTTTTTTTGCACAAATGACAAATAAACAAAAAGTAATGAAACTAAATTGCTATTACTTGCATTCTTAGCATATTTTTTTCTTATTTATAATATATTTTGAAATGCAGGTCCATTTATACAAATTTATTATAAACCACTTATCATTACACTTTATTAAGGTCCATTTATTAAAATTACATTTAACAATGACCATTTAAAAAATAACATTAATGTAGTAGCAATGTACAACTTTTTACTTAACTTTCAATCTCCATTCAATTGAAATGAATATAGGTAATAAAATAAACCTCAAAAACATTGAACAGATTGATGATGATTCACATATCAAAGTGCGGGTGCTAAAGATGTGGAACTTTATAAAGAATAATATGGTTTTATCAATTGAAATGATCATAATGTACGAGGAGGTTGGTCATATTATTATTTTTTAATATCCCACTAAATATTACATATGTTTCAAGCAATAAAATAATTTTTTTTTATTTAATTTGACATGGTACAAAATATCATTCTTGCGTTTTCAATCAAAACTTTTCCAAATTTCGTGAACTTTTAAAGGAGGTCAAACTTATATCATTATAAAACCAAACATGGCGGCTATGAATAAGGGTTTTAGTGCTACAGGTCACAAACAGACCATAACTTTGAATTGAAAAAGTATTCTAAAAAAATGTGAGGATTTTTCAGGTTCGGTGAATGGTTTTGTGTTTGTTGATTTTAATTATATTATCAAACAAACATGCCCAATAGACTCATTCTTTGGTTAGTTATTTAATTTTATTCCAACAACTTTTATAACTTGTGTAATTTATTATACATGTTAGTATTTAACTTACTCTTACTTATTATATTTTATTAAACCTGTATAGATGTTATTGAACAAATTGTCTCATTTCGGGCACTTGAAACATCAGATCCTAACCCATCTGAGCATTACATAAAGATGACTATAAACAATTAACAATGAGATTATTTTCTTCTATTTCTTTATTATTTTTAATCAATTTTTTTTACTAATTAATTTCTTTATTTATTTAGGTTTGTACACCTGAAGGTCACTATATTTGTAACTCAAGCACACTAGATGTCACAGTACCTCAAACCTAACCCCACAGTTACTTATGTTGTTATAGTGATGCAGTTTGTTAAACTTAACATTTGGGATGGTTTGTAGTCACGCTATATGTATTTATTTTTTATTTAAATTTACTTTTACTGACTAATTTCTTTTTATATGAATTGGTCAAGCCCAAAGTTATTTTGATGTAACCAGATTGTTCATTAATGACGGCATTATTGAAATTAATGAGTTCAAGAATGAGTTAGTTTCTTTTTTTTAAAACTTTTTTATATTTTTTTTGTAACTATAACCAAGACATAGTGTTATATGTAAAAAAATAATTTTAAACATTACAGATTGAAAGCTGCTAACAATGGAGGTATGTTTGAAAAAAACATAACTACACCCCCAAGCCACTCTTCTTCTTATATAGATGATTTTAAAAGGGATTTCCCTTTAAAAAACAGTTTGTGAGATCACAGAACCACTGAACGTATATTGCATTATTTGATATCCTTTAATTTCATTTACACATTGTATGTTTTTTTAACATTTACATTTTATTTCATATAGGTAATGAAATTTCTATTAGTTGGTTCCATCGTCAATATAAGACATAATTTTCCTTGGTATTACGATGCGTGCTCTAAATGTGGAAAAAAGATAAACACAGTGCCCAAACCCAAATCATTCCTATACCGCCCCCGATAAATTTTCGGAAAGTGTTGTTATTAGTGTAAAGATGCGTGTTGAAACGATTCAGATTTTTATCCAGTTACAAAGTATAAACATTTCTACTTATATTAACCATTTCAGTCTTTCAAATAAATTAATATTAATGTTATATTTTTTTGTTTAGGTATATGATTCCAATTAACGTACAAGATGATACTCGCACCATCAGATTGACTCTTTTTGATAGGGAAGCGAAGATAAGTGCATAATTGCATATGACTTGAAAAAAAAACATATGGCGGTATACTATGTTATTCGTATTTTTAAATCAAAAAACATTTTATTTGTGTTAATATATTAAACAATCTTCTTACAGGTTGGAGACAGTTTGAATCTATTTCCAAACCAAATTAACGTCTTGAAAAACCGCAACTTTGCTTTTCTTGTAGAGATTAAACCCTACAATGGCAACAACTATAATAATATCTACACCACTGTCAAACTTACAGAAAATGTGTCCATTGTTTCCCAATTGGAAAGTAAAATTGAACTTATGGTACATACATTTAAAGCTCAAAAGTTATATTTGTTTTTTATTTACGTACATAACGTTTTACATTTTCCATCTTATTTTCTAGAGTACTCAATCCGTTTCCTTAAATCAAGTACCTTTGGAATCAGATGAAGCTGTACAAAATGTTCAAAAGGTATTTCGATTTCCATATTAACTTTTATTTATATTTAATTATTTCAACTAACAACTTATGTTTTTTTATTTAGGATGTTATTTCTCAAATGGATGAGAGTTTTACATCGTCAACAGTTGGTAAATCAACCGCAACTAGTCCTATCAAAATAGCAACTGAGTTGAAGCGCAACCTCCATGACATTTACGACGTTGATGGTGGAGATGATTTCAGTTCAACAAAATCTGAAAGAAAATCAATCGGAGAAGAAAATCCACTTTTAGTTCCAAAAGTGGAGAAGTGAGTTGGGTTTGGTTTTAACAAACAAATGATAATTTTGGATATTGGTGTGGTTTTAAAGGCTATTGGGTTATTTGGTACAAGACTTTTATTTTGGATCTTTGGTGTTTTTTTTGGGGTATGATTTAACAGACACTAATATTTGGTTTGAAACTTTAGAAATCCTTATTATATATTTACTTCTTTTTATTTAATATTTACTCCAATTACAAGTTATTTATTAAAATACCATTTTCGTATGATTCTTAAAAATGTTCTGTCATTTCATCAAATTGCTACTGCCATAATTTAATGCAAATATATACTGAAGGACAGAAAAAGAGGCATAAAGTTTACTCTTATGGATAAGGACATGATTTAGAAATAAATGAAAAAATAATATGCTTTGAGGGGGGTAAAACTATATGTCTTACTTACCATTTATTTTAATATGACCACTATGCATTATACAAACATTTCAGATGGATTTCTAGAAATTTAGATTAATACTGATTAAGGCATAGATAAGAATATACCTGGTCACACCGGTGCTGTTAGGTTTTATTCAAAAATCCGGTTTCACAACCGATAAAATTGACAACAGAAGCTTTAAAAATGTTGAATAAAACTAAAACTATTTTACCCACCAATGATCATTTTGTAAGAGTTAGGAAGATTAAAACAACCATAGAAGGGAAAGCATAACAACCTTTGAAGACTTTGATCCTCATGGGAGGTTGGAAGTTGATGAAGTGTGGCATGAAACTCTAAAGCAAGAGTTCTCTACAACTATCCACCAAGCAAGAGTAGAACCATCAAAACATGCTAGTATTCACTTGTAATTTGTTGTTCATAAGCCTTTGAAATATATACCAAATATATGTTCAAAGGTGAAGCAACAAAAGGGACATTCTTTTAACATCAAATGCAAGAGAATGGAGGAGAAGAAGGATGCTTTAACTTCGAAATTTGGCAGCCTCTTGGGAGCACTTTTGCTCTCGTTTTTTTAGCCAAAGAAGAGGAAGAATGAAGGCTTTCAAGCATCCCCTCTAACCTTCCATGCCCTCCCTTATATAGAGGCCAAAAAAGCAAATGGAGACCATAAAGTAAAAGAGGGACAACTTTATCCCAAGCATGACAAAAGAAGACCATGCTTGGTCTCCTTACAATTTTCGAGAAAAGCATGTCCAAAAGAAGACAAAATTTGTTTCATGGCTAGTTTATATACACATACATGTTATCTTTATAAAAATCAATTATTTTTATAAAGAATTTCCAACATATATATTTATATAACTAGTCATATATAAATATCTTATTTTATACAAAACTATCTTTTACATAAATTGTAACTAGCTTATTTTATTAAAGCTATCTTTTATATAAATTGAACTAGTTATTAAGATATAAATATAACTTATAAATAATCATACGTTATGATATATTTCATAAGTTGGTTATTTCTCCAATAAATATATTTCCACAAATAATAAATTATCAATTAGTAAATATTATTTCCATGAAATAATAATTTTCCAATTAAAACAAGTGTTCATTTATTTATTAATAATCAAATTATACTAATAAATAATCAATTGATGGTAACTTGCTATATGGTGTGACCCTATAGGATCATATATTATTAACAATATCATTCTATAATGACTCTTAGACATACTAGATCTTTCATGTGCCATTAACATCAATCTTTTTGTAAAGAGCCGTATAGAAAAAAAGATGGTAGCTTGCAAATTTCATGTCTTACAGCTTTGAATTATATCCATTCAAATCAAAGTTAGTACTTTTTACAACCTTCATGTTAAAAAGGAACAAACATCATTTCTTCTATAACCCACTATTTTACTTACCTGTTTCACCCATTGGAACAAGTACGTTGCATATTTTAATACTTATGGTTGTACAGTTGTCCATTAGTAAATTAATGGAAAAACAAAATAATCAAGGAGTTTTCAATCGTAAATTATGTTTTTGTCCATTAGTAATCATTATTTAATATTTATGGTACCACAGTTGTATGTTTTTTATGTTGTTCGATTTAAAACACCATTGAAAGCCTTAGAATTTATAATGCTAAACAACAACCAACCCCAATTCACCAAATCTTACCTTTTGTCGGGTGACTTCCTAGAGAGGACCTGCAGCAGGATGAGATATGGTGGTCCAGAATTCGCATATTTATTATTACTTTCAATCTCACAACAAATATTATCAGGTCAACAAAAGTCAACGTTCTCATATGAGTGAATGCTAATTGATCAAATCATATTTTGCTGCTTCCGGATGAATTTTCTAATTTCAAAAACCAATTAAAATTGTAATTTAGGTCAAACTTAATCTTTTAACAAAAAATAGCCATTATTACTCACTCGATCAACAAAAATGACATAACTTTCTCCATCTCCCTCATTCATATTCTTCTTCATGTTCCACTTCACTTTTTTTCTTCTTCAACTGATTGCACACAATATCATCATAGATGAGAT